AGTCAGTGATTTCATCAGCCCGGAGAGTCTGAGGTCCTCCTCCACGCTGCTCTAAGACCACGCCACCTCTGTTCCAGGAGCACTGCTCATCAGCTCACCTCGGCATCTGCCCGTCCCACTCTTTGCCTCTCTATACTGTTGCCATCTCCTCCCCTTCTAGACATTTTCTTCTAAGTCTTTCACCATCTTCCTAAGTTGTGCTGTTACGTTGTGTGATTCTCTGAGGATAAGTGATCCTACAGTCTGGTTACTTAAGTAGTCTTCCCCTCTTCTGCCTGGAGGCTTCTCTGATTTCTTATTTCTCCTGGAGGCTTCATCCCCACCTACTTCCCTGTCTGTTCAAGTCCTCATCCCTAACGCTGGAGCCATCTTCCTTCCAAATCCTCAGATGGTCCTTCTGTTCTTCCTCTCACCACAGTCCCAAGTCTGGAACCATTGATCCATCTTCCTGCCCTGAACCTGTACGTGGGCATCTCAGCTCGGTGCCACAAGAGAAAACCACATCAACACAGAGATTGGTGCCTCTGTAAATTACTCGTCCCGAAGCTTGAATGCTGCCCAGCCAGCCCTGTTTGCTCATTTTCTTTGTCAGTTCTCACGCCCACTGGCCTCTTCACCATTACAAGTAACGTGCTTGATCCTCTTACCTCTAACTCCACCACTATTTCTCCTCGCTTTTAGCAGAGGACCTTGTCTCTGACCTCACAGACCGTACAGCAGTCCTGAGAGGACAGCACGCATGAAGCCCAAGCCTCCATCTTGGTCCAGTGGCCAAGCTCCCCTTTTGCCTTTTTAAGAGTAACTCCCCTACCTGTGCTATGGATCCCACAGGATTAAGAGCTGATATTTACCAAGTGCTGAGTGCTCACTGTGTACTCTCAATGGATCCCCTCAGCCAGCAAGAACCAGGATTATTTTTGAGTCTGTTACCAGCTGTGGAAACTGAGGCTTAGGAAGGTTGAGAGATTGTCCCATGGTCATGTAGCAGCCAGGCGTTAACCTGGGCTAGACTAACTCCAGAGCCCTTGCTGTTAAATCTCGTCCTACCCTTTGTTCTCCTTCCTGCTTGGGGACCTATGTCCATCAGATACTCCAGCCTTTCCCCAATTCTTCCTGCTCAATCTCTCTCTCTTCTGGCTTGTTTATGCTAGAATGGAATATGCACAAGTCTCTTTCATCTGTTAAAACGAGCACCCATCCTCCTTAAACTACTACCTCCCCTTTACAACTAAAATTACTGAGAAAGCCCTCCACTACGTTTACACTCACAGCCTCCACACTCCTCCCACTCCCTCAGTCCACTGCAGTCTAGCTCCAAGCCGATAAAAGTCGCTCCAAGGTCACCGGTGGCCTTCCTGTTGCTAAGTTCAGTGGGTGCTCCTTGGGCCCTGTCTTACTTTACTTTCCTGAATCATTTCCTACCACTGATCCCTTCCTTTTTCCTCTTCACTCTGCTTTCATCTGCCTACCCTTTCCTGATCTCCCTAACTGCTAACCCCTAGCCTCATTTGAAGGCCCATCCTTCTCTGCCAGTCACTGCAGCGTCTGTGATCTTTCAGACTGTGCTGAGCTCCGTTATTCTCATTCAGCACACGTGTCCTGAGTAAGCTCACGCATTCTTGCTGCTTGAATTCCTATCCGCATGTTGGTGGATCCCAAGTCTGTATCCCATCCTTAATAAGGGCCTGAGCACATGATATTGTACATGTCCCCCTGCCTACTGGACATCTCAATTTGGATGACCCTCTGGACTTGCTGGATTCAACTGAGTGCAAAACTGAGCTCATCTTCTTGAAGAGATATGGAAGAGACTAAAATTGTGGGCTCTAGAGTCAAGCCTGATTGTGCCATTCACTAGTGCTGTGGCCAGTTCTCATGCATGAAATGGGGATAATGATGGCACCTACCTCACAGGTCACTGTGAGAGTTAAGCACAAAGTTCTCAGAGCAGGGCCAGGTGTGGGGTGGCTTTTCAGTGGTTGTTAGCGTTGGTGGGTATTACTCCTGCCGCCTTGAGTACCACGCTGCCGCAGCCACCCCTGCTGCCCACCCCTACAGCCGCCTCTTTCCCCAGTGCTCCTCCTTATCTCCGTGGACTGTATCCACGGGAGGCAATGCTTGAGCACCTAATGTGTGCAGGTGCCATACAAGTATGTTACGTGAATTATCTCACTTGATCCTGGCTATAGCCCTTGGGAAATAACCTGTTAGTATCTTCAGCTTCTATGAAAATGAAGCATCCAGGGTTAAATAACTCATATGTGGTCTCACAGCCACTGGAATTTGTGTTCTTACCTGCCGAGCTCTTAGCTCAGCCTCTAGGCACTTTCATTCTGCCTTCCCACCCTGGGTCATCTGGCCAGAAACCTGAGGGTCATCTTTAACTTGTCCTTTTTTGTCACCACCGCACCAAAATTCAGCCAGTCACCAAGTTCTGTCAACTTGACCTCCTGAACGTCAGAAGATGTCTTCATTTGTTTTATGCCACTTGTCTTAGGTGCTGCTCCATCTCCTCTTATTTAAGTTACTGCAGTGGATTCCTGGTTTGTCTCCTGCCTTCTTGTATTGCTGCACTCCTGTCTGTTCTCTCCAAACACTGGGCGTTTTTATTTTTCAACAACCCAGTTCCAAGACACTTTTCTGGCACTGTCTTTAGGATCAAGTTCAAGATCTTTAAAATAACTTCCAAGACCATCCACCATCTGGCTTCTGTTTTCCTCTTGAGTATCATGTGTTGCTGTTCTCCCATAGCAAACCAAGACTTGGTTTTAGTGAGCTTTCCTTGAGTTTCTGTATCATGCAGGAGAAAAAATGGCCCAGGTAGTACCTAGAATCAGGAAGCTTGCCTTGACTCTAGGTAATACCAAATTCTGTCTGCCCCCCCATGTGTGACATGTGATACACTGTCACTTATAGACTGGGAGCCCCATGGGGGCACGGGCTACATCTCTCTTACAGACTGCTGTATCCTCTTGTCTAGCACAGTGCTAAATAAAAATGTAGGTGCTCAGATAAAATGTCACATTAGATATGAAAACTGAGATTTTATGGTCTCCTTGAGACCATGCAGCTTGTTAGCAACAATTGTGTTGGTTGGTAGCACAGATTTTAGTACCAAACTTCAAGTCCTCCCTCTGCTACTTACTCTAAGCCTAGTTTCCTGCTTTGTAAAATGGGGACGATAAATGCATCAGCCTCCTAAGGCTGGGGGAACAAAGTGAGGGTAATGTATGTCAGGTGTCAGGCAGAGAGCCTGCGCGTCGTAAGCAGTCCTTGGATGCTAAGTTTCCGACTCAACACCTGACTCTCCGTGCAGCATTTGACTTATGACTATGCACATGTGACACTATCCAAGCAGTCTCTACCAACAGGCATGCTGAGCTATTGTTCACAGGAAATAAAAATTGAGAATAAAGGCAGTTCCATCAGGCTTATCCTCTGGTTTTAAAAGTATTTTACTCAGTGATTCTTTTCGATTATATAAATATCTTTAGAAAGACTATACTGAAATCTGGAAATATCAATTAGGTAAACTTTCCGAGGGTTCTGCTTATCATCATGTAAAAGAATGATCATATATTAATTTCAGCGAAGCTCAGCATCTACTTAATGTAATGACATACGGACTGGCCTCTATGACTGGCAAATGCTTCATATATATTTATGTGACTGATTTTTCATATATATTTATGTGACTGATTTCTGGGTGGCAATGCCTATAATAAGCTACAAATTATTCTCATTTAATAGGATAAATATAACCCTAAATAATTTTTCAATGAATGATTTAATACTTACATTTTTTATAACAAATTTGAACATTGCTCATAAAATGAGTTAATAGAGAGTTTTTTGGAAGCAGGGTGTCGTGGGTTCAAGTCTGGCTCCACCACTTATTACCATTATGACCTTGGACAAGTTGTTTAATGTATCTGAGCTTTGAGTTACTCATCTGTAAAATGGAGATGCTGTTTCCTACCTGAAGAGTTTGCTGGGAGAACACAGGGAAATAACATGTGTAAATCACTTAGCACAGCACCTGCCATGTAATAAATACTCTGTAAGCCACCAGACATTTTACTGTCAATGTTAGCCCAAATTAAATTGGAAAGAAATCTATTTGAACTATTTATTAGATCACTGTAAAAGTAACTCTTGTCAATGTGGATTTTCATGTTATGCAGGGAAAATGATTTATGGTGAATTTTTCTATAGCTCAGCTTTTCAGCTGTATATACCTACCATCTACCAAAACAGGAAAATGTACAAGTTTAAGATTACTTCATGCTGTTTAATAGGAATAGTGAAACCTTGTGATGATTAAATATAATATTTGAGAAGAAATCAACTTGTGTTATCAATTTAGTGAGTCGTTTTAAAATTTTCAATGACCTTCCTCCTTTTATTTTGCTACCACTGTGGTAAATCTTTCACGATCTCATAACCCCCAGTAATTCCTATATCACATAACTACTCATTACAGGAGGCTCTTCATGAAACTTCATGCAATATAACTATAAAACCTTCCTCCTTTTATTTTGCTACCACTGTGGTAAATCTTTCACGATCTCATAACCCCCAGTAATTCCTGTATCACATAACTACTCATTACAGGAGGCTCTTCATGAAACTTCATGCAATATAACTATAAAATGGTGAAAATATGACTTAGACTACTGTTTAATTGTTATTGGTACTCAGTTATTATCAGTGCTATGATTGTCATAAGTGTGCAAAACATAACAAAGCTAACTTTTTGCAGTATTTGCTTCATGAAATAATTGGGAAATGTGATGGTGATAAAAAGATGTTTTGATCTGTGCATGGCTATTGGCTAAGTTCCTTACTCCTTTTCTCCTGATGTTTCCTCCTAAGTTCTTAATTGATGTTTGTGCTCTCTCTCTACCTTCCTGGCAGTCTTTTCCCTATAAAAGGACCCATCTGTCTAAGGTAGAGATACTCTGTTTTTATATACTCATCAATGACTCAGCTGCATGGAGTAGACATGCTTATATCCGTTAGAAGTCTTGTTTAACTCTGCTTTTTCAATGTAGTAGTGTTTTCTTTGTTTTCCTTTAAGTAAAATCTATTTTTTTCAGTCTGCGTTCAAGCACGCAAAAGCATGTCTAATTCTAATCATAGTTATAGATCAAAGAATGCATTTAAAAACTTGCTAATCCATGGTAACTATTTAAAAATACTTAAAAAACTGGTGCTTGGTTTTTGTTTGTTTGTTTGTTTGTTTGTTTCAGCAGCTGGCCGGAAACAGGGATGGAACCCTGGAACTGGTGTTACCAACACCACGCTCTAACCAAGTGAGCTGACCGGCCAGCTCTGATGCTCTTTTCAATATGTAACTCTGTATACAGAGAGAGAGAAAAGTTCTTTCAGAAAATTAACTCATTTTTATTTGATTTTATTAGACTTGAATTTGAGAGGCAACAGCGTGAAGAACTAGAAAAATTAGAAAGTAAAAGGTAAGCCATGTGGGGTCAAGTTTCAGCACTCCTGTAGATTAGATTCTCCTGTTGATGTCCTGGAATGATTTCGTCGGCGTCTCTTTCAATGCCTCCTTTTTCCTCTGTGTCTTTTATTTACAATTCCAATAACTGTAGGTCATTTCTTTTTAACTGGTTGGTTTTACTTCATGTTTACATTTTTAAAATAGTTCATCTTCCAATACTTGTGAGAAAGGGGGAATATAATCGGTAGGCAAATTTAATACACCAAATATATATTTGTTTAAATTTAAATCAAAAGTATAAATTCTCAATAATATCCCGAGTTTTTCAAAAGACAAATAATGAATGAGAGAGTGAAAAGCCAAAAGAATTTCCTTTTTTCATACCCCCTCTCCCTTTTTAAACATTTTTTCTTAGGTCAGTTGACCATTCATATTTCCCTGTCTATAATTCACTTCTTCATATTCTTTGCTCATTTTTCTCTTGGTGTTTATGTGTGTGTCTGGCTGTATAATTGATTTGTAGAGTTCTTTATATGTTCTGAAATAATATTTTGATAAAACTGTATTTTCTCCTTTTCTTTTTTACCTGTTCTATTTAACAAGCCAAAAAATGGACCAGGGATGGATATTTGAGTTGGATATTGGAGTAGAAACTAAGGCTACAAACAATCTGCAAAATAGATGTTTATTTTCCAGAACCTGGAGTTTAAATGTCACAAATAAATTCAGTTAGTTTACAGGATCATATAAGACAGATGTTTGGTGGTTCGGGAGGTGGATGGAGGCTAGACATCCAGACTCTTACTCTGTGTCCTTGCTTTGGAGTCTATCCAATGCTGAAACTTTGATTTTGCAACCAGTGAGGACCATTTGTTCTTCGAGAGAAAAGATAACATGCAGCCCCATGCATTTGAGTATTCTAATAGAGTCTAGTTATTTTCAGTGTTATGTGTTAGTAAACTAATACTTTGGGCCATTTGGTGGTCATCATTTATCCTAAACTAGTGATTAAATGCTAAATAGCATACAGTTATTTGAGTGGGAACCATGAACTATTGATTATGTTGACTTTGATATTTGACCCCAGTGAGTTGAGGACAGCATAAGCATTTTTATTTAATGTCATCTTGTAACCGAAGTTCTGTTGTTTTAGTCATTGGGCTGAATAAAATTATTCACATTTAAATTCAAATTGGGCATGGTTCTTTCTCTTTGAACTCAGGGGGCTTTTAAAATTATATCATGCATAACATGATTATAGGCTCTACAAGGAAAGGCTATCAGAGGCTGCTTCAGGAGAGTAGGCAGATGACACACTGGACAGTTAAGGAATAAAAATGTTGAACAGCATGCTGCTGAAAATTTAGAAGAGAGCACTTCCTCTTTTATTTTAATGAGGTGTTTGGTTTTATGGTTTTATGTTGTATATATGCATTTCCAGAGGTTTTTTTTTTTTTTTTTTCCTGAGGCTGTCCTGTTTGGGGATCCGAACCCTGGACCTTGGTGTTTTAACACCGCAGGCTCTAATCAACTGAGCTCCTGGGCCAGCCTCGGAACATTTCAGTTAGGGAAAAGTCAGAGCAACAGGTGAACACAGTGAACAAACAATGATGATCAGGCAGCATTTTGCATTTCAGGAAACTCATAGAAGAAATGGAGGAAAAGCAGAAGTCAGACAAGGCAGAACTGGAGAGGATGCAGCAGGAGGTGGAGACGCAGCGCAAGGAGACAGAAATCGTGCAGCTGCAGATCCGCAAGCAGGAGGAGAGCCTCAAGCGCCGCAGTTTCCACATCGAGAACAAGCTGAAGGATTTGCTCGCCGAGAAGGAAAAGTTTGAAGAGGAAAGACTGAGGGAGCAGCAGGAAATCGAGCTGCAGAAGAAGAAGCAGGAAGAAGAGAGCTTCGTCCGGGTCAAAGAAGAGCTGCAGCGGCTGCAGGCACTCAACAACACCGAGCAGGCCGAGAAGATGCAGATATTTCAAGAGCTGGGCCGGCTGCAGCGCGAGAAGGACGAACAGTGTGCCAAGCTTGAATTGGAAAAGAAGAGGCTGGAGGAGCAGGAAAAGGAGCAGGTCCTGCTGGTGGCCCACCTGGAAGAGCAGCTCCGAGAGAAGCAGGAGATGATCCAGCTGCTGCGTTGCGGCGAACAGTGTGCCAAGCTTGAATTGGAAAAGAAGAGGCTGGAGGAGCAGGAAAAGGAGCAGGTCCTGCTCGTGGCCCACCTGGAAGAGCAGCTCCGAGAGAAGCAGGAGATGATCCAGCTGCTGCGTTGCGGCGAAGTGCAGCGGGCGGAGGAGGAGAAGCGAGACCTGGAGGGCATCCGGGCGGCCCTCCTGCGCGTCAAGGAGGCCCGGGCTGGGGGCGACGAGGATGGCGAGGAGCTGGAGAAGGCTCAGCTGAAGTTCCTGGAGTTCAAAAGAAGGCAGCTGGTCAAGCTCGGGGACTTGGAGAAGGACCTGGTTCTGCAGAAAGACCTCCTGGGAAAAGAAGCCGAAGAAGACCAGGAAATTCTAGAGCGTTTGAAACGTGAAAACGACGAAGAATCTAGGTTGTTGGGAAGAAATGATGGTAATGTTGCAGATGTCACCCCACTGGCTCAAGATTTAGAGAAAATAAAGTCCGTGGAGTACCGGCTGCAGTATAAAGAGCGCCAGATACAGTACCTCCTGCAGAATCATTTGCCAGCTCTGGTGGAAGAAAAGCAGAGAGCATCTGAGATCCTTGACAGAGGCCCCCTCGGCTTAGACAACACTCTTTATCAAGTAGAAAAAGAAATGGAAGAAAAAGAAGAGCAGCTTGCCCAGTACCGAGCCAGCGCGAGCCAGCTGCAGAAGCTCCAGGCCACCTTCGAATTCACCGCCAACGTCGCGCGGCAGGAGGAGAAAGTGAGGAGGAAGGAGAAGGAGATTCTGGAGTCGCAGGAGAAGCAGCAGAGGGAGGCGCTGCAGCGGGCCGTGGCCCTGCTGGACAGGAGGCATTCCGCCCTGCAGCGGAGCTCCACCCTGGGCCTGGAGATCGAAGAGCAGAGGCAGAAGCTCGCCACCCTGCACGGCAGCAGCAGCGAGCAGCTGGGGCTCCGGGCCAGCCTGGAAGCCGAGCAGGAAGCCTTGGAGAAGGACCGTGAGAGGTGAGGCGCCGGGAGGCAAAGCGGGGCATACAGTCGGTGCCAAGTGATCACCCGCTTCCTACCCCTCGTGCTGTGTCTCTCACTCTTTTCTTTTAGCCATTACATTCTCTAATATTTAGGCAAATGCTTATTTTTTGATTAAATTAAATTTTATTTTTTTAACCAAACCTGAGAAAAGTGCCCCTAAACATTCTTTTATTTCTCCTTAGGATCCTTGTTTCAGAATCGTCGGCCTAAAGCTTCTGCCCGTCCCCCACCCCCACCTCTGGAATGTGTGTGTACTTTGATATTGTGACTCCCTGCAAAAGTCGTAGCTTCAGCAGTGGCTCTCCCCTCCGTCCTCCTGCCCTCCTCCCACTCCTGTTCATTTCCTCCACTTCCCTTCCTTTCCTTCCTTGCCCTCCCTGTTTCCTCTCCTCCTCTTTTCCTTTCTTCCCTTCCCCCCTCCCTCCCTCATTCCCTGTCTCTTTGTTTCACTCCCACTTTCTTTTCCTTCCCCGTCCTCCCTCATCAGCTCTTTGCCTCTCCCCTTCCCTGCCGTTCCTCCCCGACAGCTTACCATCTTCTCTAGGACTAGCCCTCCATACAGTAACGTATCATTGCTGGTCTGCACGTTGTGTACTGATTCCCACAGCCTGGTGGGGACTAGAAATCAATACTTCTCCCACCCCTGTTAGAGGGAGGCCTCGGGGCTCTGTGCAGTAGAAAACAACCAACCAAACAAGCAAACAAAATTCTCCAGATGATTTGGAACGTAATGGAATAGTCAAGCATGTTTGGTGATTTATGATACTATTTTTGGTCTTGTGAAAAATAAAATTAGGAAACTAGCACTCTTTTCATGGTAAGGTAAGAATACTTATCTTTTTCTACCTATTCCCTTCCACCATGCGTATCAGACAGTAGGTTTTCAAAATGAATAATACATGAATTTGAGAACACCTATTCTGGTAGCCCTGCAGACGTGATGCCATGACTCCCAGAAAGGCTGGCAGCAACCCGGTGTGCAAACGTCACCCACTTTGGAGACCTCCTGTGAGGGGATTCATGCCCTGGCCCAGTCCCTTCCTCCCTAGATGACCTTGGGCAAGATCTTTCATCTTCGGGCCTCAGTGTCCTCACCTGTACAAGAAGGGATTGCATGAAATCAGGAGTCTATGCATATCCTTTGAGCTCCGGACCCTTTGGTCAGTTGAGGTCTTACTGAAGCCCAGGTTGGAGGGCCTGGAACCCTGCCTTTTTACATGTATTCCTCCCACTTGCAGCACGTCCTGAGGGGGTTTCAACAGAATTCTAGTCTGCTGGCCTGCAAGGCCCCAGTGTGGCATTGGCAGAAGCATGGAGTCAATTGCTGTTGACTTGTGGCATGACCTACTCAGAGGTGCTGTAGCCTTTGCCTATCATCTTACCTGGAAAGGTCAGGATAACCTCCTGTCAAATGATTAGCTTATACTGTGGATTATATTTATAGTTGCTTTCTGATAATTCCCTCAGGCAAAAGAGCAACAAAATAACAATCAAAACACATAATGCTGTCATTTCAGGGAAATAGGTCGGCGGTTTAAGAAAATGGTTTCCAGGTATGTTATGTAAATGAATTGCTGGACAAAACTCCAGCCCCAGGAAATTTAAAGTAGTGGAGGGCACGCTTTCAATATGTGTCCTGCAATGTGCAGTAAGAATGCAGCATGAGCTTTCAGCTTGATGTCCCTGGCTTTTGTCAATTGGCCATTCAGCATTAATACTCTATAATGGCAGATGCAGTACTGCCATTTCCATGGAAGTCATTTCCCAGCATCAGTATTCCTCCAGAAGCCACACAAAGGTTCATCATGAGTTTTCATGATGAAAGAGACTTAACTAAGACCTAACTCAGGCCAGTGAAGTCTAGGCTCTTTGCTCTATGATGTCCTGCAGCTTTCTGTGGGTGTTTCTTTTGTGTTGTATTTTCTCCCAGGTTTCTACTAAGACCTAACTCAGGCCAGTGAAGTCTAGGCTCTTTGCTCTGACTATGATGTCCTGCAGCTTTCTGTGGGTGTTTCTTTTGTGTTGTATTTTCTCCCAGGTTTCTCATGGCTAAGGTAGGATCTGCCATGCAGCCTAACCTGGCCCTTTATGAAATGCCATAAGTGGAAAATAAAAAATTCATTTGGGGCCAGACTGGATAGTAGCACATGAACTTGGCTTTCCTGTTGGCTTCTGAGAGCTTAGGAACAAGGTTTAATCTATTTTACTGTCTTCTTTTCACTACCTGCTCATGCCCCAATGACATGTATCAGGCAGCCCAACCAGGAAAGCCCTCCTATCACCATAGCAAGGATAACAGAGACAAATAGTTAATACTCATATTTAATCATGTTTTTTTGTCAGAGTCCTTTAATAATAATCATACTAGTAGTAATAATAGTCATGATGCAAACTATGAAGATTAACCCTGTGGAACTCAAACTCTGTTTTGTTTGCATTATCATTTACCCTTCCAGTGAAGAGAGCGCCATTGTCCCCAGTGTGCAGATGAGGAAATTGAGGCCTGCAGTGGTCATTTAATCACTGGGGCTAGTGTCAGTAGAATGTGGCAAGGCTGTAGCTTTCATCTCTCTCTGTTTACCACCCAGCTCTTAGCCACTTTGCCCTCTTGGACCACATGGCTGCTGCATGGGCAGCCCAGTTTTTCAGGTGGCACACATTCCTTGCCACATATAAATCTCACTGAGACCTCAGGGCCTCACTGGAACTGCCTTTGCTCTGTGGAGTCTTTTCTACTGCCCCAGCACTGAAGGATGCCTCTGAACAACACAAGCAGGAGCTTCTTTGCTATAAACATTGCTGACTATATGCTTACATCTGGCTCCTTTTTCTTGCCATTGCTGAGACCCCACTAATATTGTTGCCCAAATCTTCTCCTACCACCTGGCCCCTTACATCACTCTTTTATGCTTATTCCCTTCTCTTTTGAAAATACTCTATGCTCTGCAAGTTGATGCTCAGGAACTACTTGCTACTCACTAGCCATATGAAGGGCTAAGTTAAGCTGGGCACTACTTCTATGGAACCCATGAGTACTTACCTGGTGACACCAGGATCACGTTTCTGAGAGTTAAGAACTTGGACTTTAGGATACAGCCGTCAAGTTGGTGCTGGTGACACCAGGGGGCTAGCAGCATCCTGCTGTGTCAGCATCTGAAGGTAGAATCTCTGATTTTTGGAGCCGAAGAAATTGGAAGAGATTAGTTTAGTTGACTCTCATTTGATCCATGAAAAAATTGAGATCCAGATTTAAATAACTTTCCCAAGTTAACACAGCAAGTGCACTGCAGCCTTTAGCCGGGTCTTATGTTCCCTGAGGCCAGATTTACTGGCAAGCTTGGCCCTCTAGCCCGATGGCCCTGGATTCAGGCATGCCTAGGCCAGCATGAGAATAGCCTTACACACACCTTGACCTGATTATTTTTCTTCACCCCATTTGTATAATTGGGACATTTCAAATGCCCTGTACCAGCCATTTTGAAGGTAGAGACCTTTGAGATGTGGTCTCGCTGGTCAGGTGCAGATAACACAGTTGGAGAGACAATGTACGAATGCAAGACATTGTTCATTCTGAATGAGGATTCACAGACAGTACGTTTACCTCTTCTTTTTTTTTTGGTAATCCTCATAAATGACCTCGTGATGTGAGATATAACTGTTATCTATGACATCCTTTTCTGTGTGAGGAATCCAAAGCCTGTTGAGAGAAGTGTTCTGTCTCGTAGTCAGATCTGAGATCACAGAACCTTCTGAAGCCAGTGACTGTGATTCCCTCCTACCCCTACAGTGAGGGTTCCACTAAGAAAATCCAGAAAAGATTTGGATGGGATCACTTCATTTCCTTTCCATTCTCAATATTCTGTTACTTGTCCAGTTTATGTCTCAGTTGGGGAAAACCGTGATAGTGAATGTGTGGCAGATTTCTTAGAAAAAAGAATGTTTAAGGTCCCAAGTTGTTGTTATGTTCGGCATTGAGAATAAGAAGCTCCCTGTTGTGAGGAGCATAGTAAAGAAAGTATCTCAAAATGTCCCATGTGGCCAGCTGCCCACCCCTGGGATCCAACGCAGTGGTGCCGAGACCCAGCATCCTCCACATGGGACCAGGTTATGCCAGACAAGTCCCCGCCCTTGAGAGAGGCCCCAGCCGCCGATCCCTGGGACCTGAGGCAGCAATAGGCAACTGAGTGTCAACAAAACTCCCTCATATTGCTCCAGACACCAGGGTGGAACAAGTAGACTGTGATAACCTTTGCCACAATGACTAAACACCAACAGAGAGATGCTAGAAATGTGAAACACCAAGAAAGTACAACACCACCAAAGGAATATAATAACTCTCAAGTTCTAGACCCTATCGAACAGGAAGTCCTTGAAATGACTGATAAGGAATTTTGAGCAACAGTTCTAAGGATACTAAATGAGGTACACGAAAACTCAGTTAGACAACACAGCGAAATGAAAAAAGTATACAGGACCTTAAAGAAGAAATGTACAAAGAAATCAAGGCCCTGAAAAATAACGTAGCAGAGCTTGTGGAGCTGAATGATTCATTCAGTGAAATAAAAAAATACAACAGAGAGCTTAACCAGCAGGCTAGAACAAGCAGAAGAGAGAATTTCTGACCTTCAAGATGGCTTGCTTGAAATAACACAGGTGGACCCCCCCCCCCCAAAAAAAAGAAAGAAAAAAGAATTAAAAAACTCGAAGAAAATCTAAGAGAGATAACAGATAACCTTAAGAGCTCAAATATCCTAATCATGGGTATTCTAGAGGGGGAGGAAAAAGGAAATGGCATTGAAAACATATTCAATGAAATAATAGCAGAAAACTTCCCAGGTATAGGGAGAGAGACATCTTCAGATACAGGAGGCTCAAAGATCCCCAAACATATTCAACCCAAAAAGGTCCTCTCCAAGACACACGCAAAACTCATAGACAAAGAGAGAATCTTAAAAGCTGCAAGAGAGAAGTATCAAGTCACCTATAAGGGAACTCCTATCAGACTAACATCAGACTTTTCATCAGAAACCCTAAAAGCCAGAAAAGAATGGGATGATATATTCAAAATACTAACAGACAAAAATTCCCAGCCACGAATACTTTACCCAGCAATGCTGTCCTTCTGAAACGAAGGATGAATAGTACATTTCCCAGACAAGCAAAATGGGGAGTTCACTACCACACGACCAGGCTTACAAGAAATTCTTGAGGGAGTACTGAGTTTGGTACCTGAAAAACAACCATCGCTATCATGAATACTCAGAACAAAACCCACTGCTAAAATAAAATATTAACAATAAAGAGAAAACAAAAGTGTATCCACTATTCCAAGAAACCAACAAACACAGAAGACAAACAGTAAATCAGAAAGAAAGGAACAAAAGATATTTAAAACACCCAAACAAAAGTCAATATAATGCCAGGAGTAAGTCAATACCTTTCAGTAATAACTCAATGTAAAAGGTTTGAATTCCCCACTCAAAAGATACAGACTGACTGATTGGATTAAAAATATGGACCCAACAATATGCTGTCTTCCAGAGACCCACCTTACCTGTAAAGACACACATAAACTAAGAGTGGAAGGATGTAAAAAGATATACCATGCAAATAGAAATGAAAAAATAAGAGTAGCTATTCTTTTATAAGATAAAATAGACTTTAAACCAAAAACCATTAAAAAAAGAAGACAAAGAAGGCCACTATATAATGATAAAAGGATCTATCCAACAAGAAGACATAACAATCATAAATATATGTGCTCCCAACATTGGAGCAGCCAGATTTATAAAGAAAGAGCTAGACATTAATACCATAATAGTAGGGGTCTGAACAACTGACTCTCAACATTAGACAGATCATCTTAAGCAAAAAATCAACAGAGAAACACAAGATCTAAACAGTACTTTAGACCAATCTGACTTGGCAGATATCTACAGAACATTTCATCCAACAACATCAGAATATTCATTCTTCTCATCAGCATGTGGAACATTCTCCAGGGTAGACCACATGTTAGTTCACAAATCAAGTCTCAAAAAATTGGAATTATTCCATGTATTTTTTCCAGACCACGGTGGATTAAAACTAGAAACCAATAACAAACGAAGCTCTGGAAATTATACAAATACATGGAAATTGAACGACATTCTATTCGATGACATATGGGTCCAAGAAGAAATTAAGCAGGAAATCAAAAAATTTATTGGAACTAATGAAAATAATGACACATCATACCTAAACCTTTGGGTTACTGCAAAAGCAGTACTAAGGGGGAAATTTATCACATTAAATGCTTACTTCAGAATAACAGAAATGATGGCAAGTAAACAACCTAACACTTCACCTTAAAGAATTAGAAAAACAAGAACAATGCAAACCTAAAGTTAGTAGACAGAAAGAAATAATTAAGATTAGAGCAGAACTAAATGAAATAGAAACCCCAAAAACCATACAACAGGTCAATGAAACAAAAAGTTGTTTTTTTGAAAAGATAAATAAAATTGACAAACATTAACAAGGCTAACTAAAAAAAGAAGAGAGAAGACACAAATAACAAAAATTAGAAATGAAAATGGTGATATTACAACTGATAACTTCAGAAATATAAGGAATCATTAGAGATTACAATAAACAACTATACGCCAACAAATTTGAAAATCTGGAGAAAATGGATAAATTTGGGGGCACACACAAACTACCAAGGCTGAGCCAAGGAGAAAGAAAATCGGATAGACCAATAACAAAGAGATTGAAGCTGTTATCAGCAATTTCCCAACAAAGAAAAGCCCAGGCCCAGGTGGCTTCTAAAGAAGAATTAATACCAATTCTCTACAAACTATTCCAAAAAATTGAAACAGAGGCCACTTTCACAAACTCATTCTATGAGGCAAACACCATCCTGATACCAAAACCAGACAAAGATACAACAAAAAAACACTACAGGCCAATAGGTTTGATGAGTATAGATGCAAAAGTCCTCAATAAAATACTAGCTATTAGGATCCAGCAACACATGCATAAAATTATACACCATGGTCAAGTGGGTTTCATCCCAGGGATGCAAGGTTGGTTCAACATACACAAATCAATAAATGCGATACACCACATCAATAAAATCAGACACAAAACCATATGATCATCTCTATAGATGATGAAAAAGGATTTGACACAACTCAACATTTGTTCATGATGAAGACTGTATAAATTGGGTATAGAAGGAAAGTATCTCAACACAATTAAAGCCATATATGACAAACCCACTACCAATGTCATCTTGAATGGAGAAAAATTGAAAGTTTGTCCCTTAAGAACAGGAAAAGGTAAGGATGCCCACTCTCACCACTCCTACTCAACATAGTGTTAGAAGTACTAGCCAGAGGAATCAGGGAGGAGAAGGAAATAAAGGGCATCCAGGTAGGAAAAGTTGAATTCAAACTGTCTCTGTTTGCAGATGACATGATCCTATTTATAGAACAGCCTAAAGACTCTACAAAAAAACTCTTAGAGTTAATAAATGATTTTAGCAAGGTTGCAGGATACAAAATCAACACAAAACAAATCAGTAACATATCTGTATTCCAGCAGTGAACTGGCAGAAAAAGAAATCAAGAAAGCAAGCCTATTTACAATAGCCATCAAAACAAAACAAAACAAAAAAAACCTAGGAATAAATTGAACCAAGGAAGTGAAAAATTTCTACAATGAGAACTATAAACCACTGTTGAGAGAAATTAAAGAGGACACAAGAAGATGGAAAGATATCCCATGCTGTTGGATTGGAAGAATTAATATTGTGAAAATGTCCATACTACCTAAAGTGATCTACAGATTCAATGCAATCCCCATCAAAATTCCAATTACATTTTTTTCAGAATTGGAAAAAATCCTAACATTCATATGGAATAACAAAAGACCACGAATAGCTAAAGCAATCCTGAGCAAAAAATAAATAAAGCTGGAGGCATAACACTACCTGACTTTAAACTATACTGCAAAGCTATAGTAACCAAAATAGCATGGTACTGGCATAAAAACAGACACATGGACCAATGGAACAGAAAAGAGAATCCAGAAATCAACCCATGCACCTACAGCATCTGATCTTTGACAAAGGCACCAAGAAGACTACACACTGGGAAAGAGACTCCCTCTTCAGTAAATGGTGCTGGGAAAATTGGACATTCATATGTAGGAGAATGAAACTAGACCTGTACCTCTCACCGTATATCAAAATCTACTCAGAATGATTACATAATTAAATATACATCCTGAAACAGCAAAACTCCTTAACGAAAACATAGGAGAAACACTCCAGGAAGTAGGATTGGGTACAGACTTAATGAATAAGACCCCAAAAGCACAGGCAACCAAAGGAAAAATAAACAGATGGGATTATATCAAATTAAAAATCTTCTGCACAGCAACAGAAACAATTAACACAGCAAAAAGACAACCAACAGAGTGGGAGAAAATATTTGCAAAATATACCTCTGACAGAGGATTAATAACCACAGTATACAAGGAACTCAACAGCAAAAAAATAAGTAACCCACTTAAAAAATGGGCAAAGGAGCTGAATAGGCATTTCTCAAAGGAAGTTATACGAATGGTGAACAGGCACATGAAAAAATGCTCAACATCACTCAACTTTCGGGAAATGCAAATCAAAACCATTTTGAGATGTCATCTCACTCCAGTTAGGATGGCTAATATCTGAAAGACTGAGAATGACAAATGCTGGCGAGGATGTGGAGAAAAAGGAACCTCTACGCTGTTGGTGGGACTGCAAAATGGTGCAGTCTCTATGGAAAATGGTATGGAGTTTCCTCAAACAATTACAGATATATCTACCATATGACCCAGCTGTTCCACTGCTGGATATATACCCAGAGGAATGGAAATCATCATGTCAAAGGGATACCTGTACTCCCATGTTTATTGCAGTGCCATTTACAATAGCCAAGAGTTGGAACCAGCCTAAATACCCATCATCGGATGAATGGATAAGGATAATGTGTTATATCTACACAATGGAATACTACTCTGGTATAAAAAAAATGAAATACTACCATTTGCAGCAACATGGATGGACTTAGAGAAAATTATATTAAGTGAAATAAGCCAGGCACAGAAAGGGAAATACCACATGTTCTCACTTATTTGTGGGAGGTAATAAAAATAAATAAGTAAATATACAAACAAATGGGGGTAGGGGGAGAAGACACAACAATCACAACAGTTCCTTGAACTTGTTAAGACAAGTGAACAGATATGATGTTGTAGGGTGGGGAGAGGGGAGAAGGAGGAAAGAAAAGCAGGAATTAGTAAAGGGACACGAAAATCAACCATCTTGTTTATTCATAAATTAAAATAATTTTTTTTAAAAAGTCCTGTGTGGTTAGAAGTGTTCAAATTTACCCCATCTCCATTGTTTTTAGGATCAATGCTTACATTGAAGAAGAAGTCCAAAGACGTCTTCAAGACTTGCATCGTGTGATTAGTGATAACAGCAGTACATCTGCAGCTGTGCTGAAGGTGAGCTGAAACCTAAGTAACACAGTCGTTCCTTTTTCAAGATGACCTGGCAGATAAGGTATCGGTGGTGGTGGTAGGGATGGGGTCTATTATTACTGTTTCTTAGTGAGAAAATTCAAATGTGGCATATTCTAGAAATAATACTAAATATTGCTGGTGTGGAGCTTAAGAGTTTAGAAATATATTAACTCAAAAGTAACTTTATTTTGTAATTCTTAGAGAACTCTTAAGTGAGTGTAAAGTCTCCTAAAGTGCTTTATTTACTTTGATTGATAAAAATTCTGCATGTAACATTTTTCTGTTTTCTTCCAAAGTACAATCAATTTATATCAGTATTTAATTTACTTTGCAAACTATCCCAGGTAGAAATATAATTTTTCCTTTGAGAAGATACATATTTTTGACAAGTTAACTTTTATCATTTATTTAAAGACAATTCATTTCTACCTTATAAATTAAGAAATGTCCTAAGGAATTCTTGCTTTTAATATTATTCTTAGAATTTTAAGATTAGGAATAAATGTTTCAATTCTCCTAGAGGCAGGTGGATCAATAGTCATGTTTACCTTGGGAATATAAATTCTGTAGAAGGGTTTTCATTGTTGAATGACAGGAATGTTTCTTTAGGGTTTTGTTCCCATAAATACTTCTCATCAAATCAGTTTTCCCCCCTTTATGTACATGCTATAATTTAATATAGAGGTCTTTTTATTTTCTTTTCAGGATAATGAGAAACTTCACAATGGCACCATTCAGCGTAAGCTGAAATATGAGGTAGGTAATGACTTTTAAGATAGGGTCGCCTTAAATTATGGCATGCTTCTGTGATTAAATTTTCTTAATGATTAGTCACATAATTAGAATTTTGAAGTCCCAGTGAAATTAATGGCTAACAGGGAAGGCAAGCTATTTTATGGACTTAAAATTAAACAGAATCCTGCAGGTTGAAAACTGCTTTGACTTTATTCGAATGGCATGTAACTGTGGTGGAGCTTTGCCCAGTTTTTTTATCAGTAACAGTATCCTTTCCCTTGGTCTGCATTTAAGAGGCTGAATTATATAATCGGAGTTAGATATGAGGTTTGGAAGTGAACCCGAGTACTTCTCGATGTTTTAAAAACTGTTCATTTTATAGACTGTGAGTTGGCAGTAATGCAAAGGAAATACTCTCGATCGATTAGCTTTTTTCTCTGGTGGATTGTCAAAACAAGGTTTATTCAGGCATACGATTTGTACGGTTTTCCTTGTATTTTCCTCCACTGAGAGACATGTCCTTTCCATATATTCCTAAATTTAGAAAAAAACTCCAAAAAACTGCTAGATGGTGGAAATCTTCTAGATGGTGTCCATGCTCACTGAACACAAAGTGAGAGGGCGGGTGTTCCACAGCAGACTTAACTGACCTTGACCACAGCCTCTCCTCCTGCCATACCCAAAAAACTGCTAGATGGTGGAAATCTTCTAGATGGTGTCCATGCTCACTGAACACAGAGCGAGAGGGCGGGTGTTCCACAGCAGACTTAACTGACCTTGACCACAGCCTCTCCTCCTGCCATTCCTCCCGTAGTGAGATGATCTTCTGCGGGACACCCACCCTTTTGGCAGGTGGCCCCATGCAGAACAAGATGCTGCCTTTCATTTCTGAGTCTACAATGCCCGCACAAAGCAGGTGTGCAGTAAGCCTTTCATGGTGAAGGTTTATAGATAATAGTGATGGTCATCTAACCAGGGCAGGCATAATTAAGGATTCCCATAGAAAGAACCAAAGGAGAGAGAAACGTGATCTGGGTTAGAATACTTGTGAATCTCTTTTGGCTTTGCCCTGATTTTCATTAAGTATGCCCTGATTTCCTTTACATTTTGGACATATGGTCATGGACTTATTTTCATCACTATATTTGACCTTTTAAGCATCGAATCAAAGGTTGTGGGATTTATTTTAGAGAAAATGAAATATTAGACCAAGAAATGGATACTGTGCTGTAGATTAATCCCATACAGTGTATTTCTATCAAAATACTTGGCGATTTATGAGATATATGATATGGAAATTGATGTTCAATGTATGAATCAGATAATCTATTCTTAAATCATGTATCTATCAATCAATACAAATGGCTTAGGCTTTCAATTTAACCTCTGAATTAATCCACCCAATCAAACCAGCAAGAATCATCATATGCAAAAGAATCACAGAAAGTGATACCATATTCCCATTTCAACTTTTTTTGACATCTTGAACAGAAAAGGCAGTCTTGGCTGGCACAGTATCTCTCCCCAGTTCTGCCCAAAGATGCTACTGAGACTTCCAGCATCATTAGAAAGGAGAGGAGAGAGGCGGATCAGAATAACCACCTGAGTCATCCCATGGGCGTCCCAGACCTTACAACTTCCTCCACAGTGTCACAAGAGAGACCTCACCAGCAAAGGGATCAGTCCTCAGTATCTGAGATGTTGCAGGACCTTGGTTGTAAATATCATTGTCCTGAGCATGCTGGCCATTTTGAACCAAAATATTATAATCTACCCCAAATCCCTTTTCTTAACAAAAGCCACACCAGTGATGCAGAAGATTTTCAGGGAAAGTCAGAAAATTTCAGTGAGCTGATGCCTCATAAAGATGAGCACAGCTTGGGAATTGAGTCCAGCTGGACTTTGCTGCAACATACATCCCAAGAAGTGTCTAGAAGTAGCGGGAGCCAGCAGGCCAGGCAAAGCCAGGTGCTGTGCGTTGTTCTCTCGGAAAGCATGTCTCATAAGGAGGGTTTCCCGGCTTTGGTGTTGGGCAGTGAGCAGCAAGATGAGAAGGCATTAGCTGGGAAAAAGATGAGCTCTCCAGCATCACTGATAAGTACCAAGACAGAAGGAAACAATGGACTGGGGTACTTTTACTGCAGGTTCTCAGACATTTATAAAGATACCAGCAGCCACCTGCTATGGGCTGGCACAAAGGTGATTAACCACGCCAGGCATGTGGGGAGCCTGTGTGACCCAAGCGGGCTCACCTCCCATGTGACAGCATTCATCAGAAGCCTGCCGCTTCTGAAGCACTTATCCCTGGACGGGCCATTTAAGTCACACATAGCGTCACCAGAGTCTCGTTCATTTCCCAAAGCTCAGGTTGGCATCAGCAACAGCAGGCAAGAGGCCAGGAGCCTTCAGCCAGCAGAGAGCAGTGCGCCTTACACAGCCTCCGTTGTGGCAGGTTCATTGGCTTCCCTGCCAAGCTCAGTTCTGCGCCTTGAATATGAAGATGGTAGAAAGAGCTCTGCATTTAAGCAGACCCTTGTGCAATTTCCAGGCCAAATGCTGAAACTTCAAGAGTGCCCTTTAAAAGGCTTTCTTGAACATGTGACTTGTTCTCTGCCAGAACCTTTGGGTGACTTGGATGAAGTCAGAGGCATTTACTGGCTTGCTGTTGCTAACTGCACAGAACCTGACCCCCAGCCAGCATGCTTGCTCCTGCTTCGGTCAACTGTGTATGCTTTGGTTCTGTCAGGTAATCACCCAGGCTCCATGAGCATTTTTCATGCTCTGCCTCTGTCTGGGCTACAGGAGATTCAAATCGGCTTTGGTGGACAGAGCATTCGACTCCTGAGCTCTGCAGAGGGTCTCCTGCTCACTGTATTCAGTTACAACAAAAACCTCTCTCAGCAGCTGTGCCGTGACCTCCTATGTGTCCTGTTGCCAGAGTCTGATGCTGCTGCCTGCGCTAATCATCCTTTGCTCCAGCAAGATCTGGTTCAGCTTTCTCTTGATTGGAAGGCAGAAATCCCTGATTTAGTTTTGGCAAACGGAGTTCGGTTGACATCCAAATTCCAGACTACCTTGGTGGACATGATTTACTTTCTTCATGGAAATATGGAGGTCAACGTCCCCTCTCTGGCAGAGGTTCAGTTACTGCTCTATATGACAGTCAGAGTTGAGGGTGAGCCCGGCCACAACCAGTGCCAGTCACTTGTCCTTCTGAACACCCACATTGCACTTGTGCAGGAAGATCGTGTTTTCCATCCACGCACTCGGTCTCTAAACATACCTCCTCCACGTGCACAGTTTGATGTGATCAAATGCCGTGCTTTAAATGAATTCAGGTGTGTTGTTGTTCCTGAGAATTTATCAACTGTAGAACTTGTCTTCTTACAGAAGCTCAAACCTGCAGCGGACTCAAGAAATAGTCCATCTGAACACCTTGCAGAAGCCCCAGATGTCCAGCTGTTTACCACCCCTTTGTGTCCTCAAGGTGGTCAGGGTGTGGCACCCGAGGTCTGGACACTGACTCTCAGTTCTCAAGATGAGGCTCTTTGGCTAATCTCACATTTGACGAGACTGTACGGAGAGCACTTTTAAAGATGCACTACATGTTTTTTGAGATCTTTAGTACAATGAGCATTATGAAAACAGTCAAGGGAATGCGAATATCTCAGTGTATCCAATTGAATTGAAATTGGAAAAATGTAGACCTCTAAAATTGAAAATGAAAACATTTTAAATATCTACAATAAGATAAAAATAGCTGTTACTAGAGCACTGACAAGTAACTTTATCACCACCTTGCTTCATTTCTTTGAAACTCAGGCTTGTAAATTTGGGTCTGCCTCATTATTTGGGAGGTGATTAAAGCATTTCTGATTGTTTGGCTTTATGTCGATTTATAGTGTGGTGACTTGAAATCTGTCTGTGCCTGTTGGATTTCGGCAGGCTAATTTGTGTTGCCTGAAGAAGTGCCCAGTCTGGCAGTGACCTTCATTGACATCCTGCGTTTAGCTGTGATTAGGACAGCTGTGCAGCAGAGCGCATCAGTGATGCACTGCGCTTCCTGTGTGTAGCACTCAGGGACGTGAAATGTTCTCCCAGCACTGTACTTTGCAGAGTGGAGACAGTGATGCATGCCCCACAGTGTTGCCTTCCTCAGTTAATTGCCTCCTTCTTCTTCCTTTCATGCTTCTCTCCTAACCTGTGTGATCTCAGCTCCTTACTTGTTGGTTTATTTCTGACTACCCTTCCCCAACACTCCCCGTTCCCCACTCCTACTACATTCCAGTTCTTTCTGTGAACTTTTGTATTTCCTTCCTAGAAAGGCTCTTCATCTCAGAGTCTGACTCTGTCTGTTGGCTTCTTTCTGCTGTCTTGTCAAGTCTGTGGTTGTCTGAGAAGGCACTCAGATCTTTTACCTGGCTGTCCTCCCTCTGGCCTCTCACCTGACCCATCCCTCATAACTTCTGAACAAGATGTTCTGCTGGCCTGAGCCGGGCATCTGCTGGCCTCCCTTCTGCCCGAGTTCACACCCACAACCTCTGGGGTTGGTCTTCTCTCTTCCTGAAGTTCCATCCAGTAGTCACTTGCCCCCTCTCTGGAGATGTTCTGCTGGCCTGAGCCGGGCATCTGCTGGCCTCCCTTCTGCCCGAGTTCACACCCACATCCTCTGGGGTTGGTCTTCTCTCTTCCTGAAGTTCCATCCAGTAGTCACTTGCCCCCTCTCTGTGCAAGGCTTCAAACTGACTCTTTGCTCTTTGTGCACCTCTGTTCAGCAATCCTGCAAGGAATCAGGCTACACGTTTTGTATTTATTTTGTATTTCTTTACTTCCTGTGACCCTCGTTGCTCTGCCATTGTTCTTTCATCTCTCAGCTATGTGTTCTAGTAAATTCTAAAGTCTGAGAAGTAAGGAGACGTGCCTCTTTATTGCTCCATCCACTTTCCTTCCACTCGGGGCAGGACCATGCTCAACCCACAGGAGCTTCTCCCTGAATGTTGTGCACAGTTGAGGAGCCAGTG